AAATCAATCAAGATTGATTGATTGCAAGGATAGAACTACATAAAGATAACGGTCAGGCCATCCCGATGGGAAACAGTTAAAGATTTTTAATTAACAAAGCTGAAGTGAGCAGTTCTTTGGCATTTGACAGTGCCACTTAACGAAGTTCAGGATGCAGCTCTACCTTCATAAGCAGAAAGTTAATGCTTTCCCATGATGCATTTTACCAAACCTTTTATGTGCTGTAATTGTTTATACATAAATATGTATCTTCCGCGTGGGTAAAACTTAAGGGAGATGAGAGATGCCGATATCGCAATCCCGCAGTTTCAGAGAGAGCACTGTAACACCATGTCCATCTGAAGTAACAGCAATCCCGGGGACATAAGCTCACTGCAAATTTTAGTGGATATATTGCAGTCCCATTCAGTTCCGTCAGAAGATGTCATAAACACCTTCTCTACAAAGAGATTAAGAACAGAAGTGAAGGAGGAGAGCCAGCAAGCTACAGTTTGTAACAAATACCCTAAGTGGAAACACACACTTTTTTCTAAAGTGGCCTTTAAAAGAGAGAAGCAAAGCATTTTTAACAGTTATTTTACGTCTCTCTCTGCAGGACTCCTTTCCAAACCATTATCTCCAATCACAGCTGGGTGTGGTCATTTGGTGCCACTGTAGCCTACCTGTCTTTGCAATTTGGAGCATACAGAATTTAAAGTATACAGAGACAGTCTCCAATCCCTGTCTACCTTTTTAAACACACTCTAAAGGGACCTCTTGGTAAACTACAAGCTGGGGAGCTTTATTCAATCTTTCCTATCCCAAGAAAACCACCAATAATATATTCTTACCTTTTCATAGTACAGTTTGCACTTCCCTCTTGAAAGCTGAAGTCTCTTTTACCCAAAAAACGAATCATGTTGGCATCCTGTTGATTCACACCTCACACTATTCCTCAGCTATGCAAAAGTTCTTGCTCTCTAATCAGGTTACTGTCACGCCAGTATCTGTAATCTCTGCTATCCAGCATTACTCGGCACCTCATGTGACAGCAGCTGGATCCCTGTGAACGCGCTGTATTGGCAGCTGTTTGTTAGATTAGCTCATTACAGGAATCTCATCTTGCGTGCTATGTATCAGCCACGATTTAAAAACCACTAACACACTTTTGTTTTGGTTTTTCCATGTAACTAAATCACTATTTTTTCCCCCTCTCTGTTCAAACTAAAACAGAACTCAATGGGCAAAAATACTCTGGACAAAAACCCGTGCTCGTTTGCTTTAGTTTACGGGGAGGCAGTGTTTCAGCATAACAGGACCTCCGGGCTACTGGCTAATCGTCTTAGACTTGGTAATCTTTGTAATGCACTCACCGAGCAGAGAGAGGCACAAGGCATCCCTGACAACAGTCCTTAAAGGGGACATGAGCCAAGCCGCCTGCAGCACCAAGCACACCACAGCAGCAGCCTTCTCTCATGTGGAGAGAGGGAATGAATGCTCAGAAATGGGCTTAGCCCAAACACTAAACACCTCTCTTGGCACCTCGTTCATTTTACTATTGAGGGAGCAAGAAAAATCTTAGCCGCTTCACTGAAAGTTGGATAAATCCTCGGGCCTCCCTGTGAGGGAGGGTAGTACAAACAGAGATACTGCCAGGTGTTCTACCCTCTCTGCTTGTTAAAAATGCAATGCAACACCTGAAGCTTTAACGGAGGGAAGCAGAGCAAGAGAAACATAAATTCCAGAATTTTTAAAGTTCATTAAAAAAAAAGAACACCACTCTGCAGGGGTACGGTTTTCTGAATCTAGCAATGTTCACTGCTGTTTTAAGGGAGGAGACTGTCTTCTCTGTCCTTTCTAGCACCACTACTTATTTTCAGCATGGCTCTGGCATTTCTTCAACTCCTTCCATGAACCTATTTAAGTGATTACTTAACAACTTTAAAAACAAACCAAAATGCAACACCTTATCCAAAACTTCAAAACAAGAAAGATAATAAAAATGTGGTTTGCCATTTTGTAGGCTACACTGGTTAACTGAAATATGAAACCATTCCTGGAGGTGACAGGGGCAAGAAGGAAACTGGGGAAGAAAGTGCAAAGAGACACAAGAAAGAAGCAAGCCCTCACCCGGCTCAGGGCAGTGCAGCTTGCGCTTGGCTCAGCTGCCTGTGGAAACGCAGCCTGACTCGCTCCAAAGGATTTATGAGAGCACTAAATCAAACCACATCGCTTCTCTCTATGTAAACACACAGAGCACTAACACCTGCTTCACAGAGCAGCTAAAAACTGGCGACAGAACAGGAGAGGCGGATCACCAGCAAGCCTGACCCAAAACAAAACGTCAGAACAACGTTCTGGCAGGGTTACCAAAGACAACTGAAAAACACCAGGAAAGCAGCCCACCCCCTCAAGAAAGAGGGTGAACTACACAACACCATGCAGTTGGTAACCTGCAGATAAAGACAACTAAGGAATGTTAGAAGCATTTATGCCTTTTAGTCCCATCGATTTTAGAAAATTTCACCAGGCTGCAGTCTGCAGACACACACTTCTGCCCCCATCTTTATCTCACTGCCCTGTCACCGTAACAAAGCATTTGAATTTCGTTTAGTATCCCCAGTATTTCTTATTCAGATGTTTAAAAGTCTTGCTAGCAGCCTAAGGCAAGTGCAAGACTTTTCAGAATGGTCTGAACAGAACCCAGCGACTCTGCCAGGAGGAAGGAAGCGCAAGTACCTGCACATTTATGTTTAGGTTGGGACGCTCGGTTGGCACGGGGCTGCTGTGCTCTGTCTCCAGCTGTTTCAGCTTCAGGAATGTCTCTTCAAATGCTGAAAAAGACAGAAAAGATAGCATCTATCTATTGTCACTGTCACATTATTTGACTCGTATCATGCATTATTCCTCAACACTAATTACATGGTTTTAAAGTTGTGGAAAGAAAGGGAGGGGGGAAGCTACTTGCTCAACCTTTAATGCAACTTTCAAGCCCACATACTCCATGTGCCGAATCACAGCACTTTGCACTCCTGCAAGTTCATTTACCCAGCCACCCTCACCCTGAGCCTGCAAGCAGCAAGAGTGAATTGCTCAGATGGCTGCACTTCACTGTATTTGTGGTTAAACTCAGATCCCACAAAGAACATGACTTTCCTCTAGCACTTCTGTCCATGGAAATAAGCTGCTTCCAGCTGGAATGGGGAGAACTGTCCAACTTTGTTGTCCCAGTGGCAGGTAAAGCTGTTCTTGTGCATATAATCTAATCGAGCTTTCTAAAACACTTCTGTATTTTGTAAGGAAACAACCTACAACAAACTGATCTGTTAAGTTTGACCCCACACATCACACTAATAGGGAAAAATCAGTAGGTTCGCTTACGATCAGAGTCTGCTTTTTCAATAGCAGTTTCCTTTGTGCCAGGATGAGGGCAACCAACAGCCTCTTCTGGATCTCCTGCTGCCAAGCCAACAACTGGACGGCCTACGGCATCATCAACACAAGTTTCTGGCAAGTCTGTGCTGTCTAGCAAATCAACAAGAGGTATGCTGCAAAGGCAGAAAGACGGGCAGAGATACGCAGGTAACTAATACACATTGGCTTTTGGCGACTTGTTTTGTTTTTAAAAAAAAGTAACATTTCATGTCTGTAGAAATTACTTCATAAAAGAACAGGTCCACATTGCCTGGTCCTTTGTCAAATAAAAAGAGAAGAGAAAATTAGGGAAGTTTTTATCCAATAAACACACTTTTCGGAACGAACATATAACATTTTTCTAACAAACAGTATAATCTAGAACTTTTACACGAGAAAAAGACAAGTTGAGGGAGGGAAGTTGATACTGTTCACAAAAAGCTCTTTGTACAGCGCTTCACCCAACACTTGTAAGGAGAACACAGGGCACAGAACACACTGGACAGGGCTGCACTGACACCATGGCATGGTTAGGCAGCCCCATAACTAGTTTCAGTTGTATTAACTTAGGCAGAGACATGAATGAAACCTTAGCAGCCACAATGTTTTAAGTGAACCGCAGCACGTACTCTGCACCCTGTCAGGATCGCTTGTTTCACTTCCTTTGCTTTCTAATGGAAACATCTCCTTTTTATTTTGTCCTACCATCTGTATTTACAATAAAAGTAGAAAAACAAACCCAGAAGTTATATTTTGATGCTTAAGTTGCGCAAACAGTGAGGAATCTCATTTGTCTCTTCAACGTTCAGGAGCAGCTAAAGCTATCCTAACAGCAAACCGTAACAAACACAGAACAACAACTGCTGCGGAACATGAGGGTTAATCAGACAACCCGGGCACACAACTACAGTCGGACTGTCACTCATTTCTATCCACAATCACACTTACATGCAGTTTGGTTGCACTACAGGTTTGAGGAGAAAAATCTATCAATTTTCAAAGTCCTGTCCCAGTTAAGAGACCAATGATACCAAGTCAGTACCCACCACAGCAGAACTTACACACAGACAGGGACTCTCCCTACTTGCCAGTTTAGACCAGCTTCTCCCTTATCGCTGCAGGGCTGATGCCCTCAGCCCCTGGGCTGTCACTAGAGGCTCCAGGAGAAAACTCCTCTCTCCAGCTTAAGCACACAAAAGAATCCTTCCAATGTTAAATATGTATCTCTGAAACAGATCACAGGGTACCACCGTTTTAGTGCTAATAATGTACGAACCATCTTAAGACAATTAATTGCCGTGGAGCAAACTGAGGTGACTTGCTTGAGTCTCTTAGAGCAGTGGAATAAGCAGCTACTAGCAAAGGAAATAATAGGAAAAGTTTCAATCTACTGTGATGCTTCTCCATGCACCACTAATGGGAAATGGCAAGCAACAGCCAGCCTTGCAAAGCAGGAGTGGTGTGTACAGAGTTTCAGTCATTAGAAGTAAGAGGCAGGAATAGATGCTCTTCTAGTTAAGTAATAAATACAGACAGACTGAATCTCACACCTTTCTATCAGAGGATGCCTAGGAATCAGAGTGAAAATGTCCTACGATCTTCACATGAAACCAGCACTTTTCTTCCTATTTTCTGTAAATAGTCTCCCACATGTTTAATGACAACCGTAGAATCATAGAATGTGTTGGGCTAGAAGGGACCATTAGAGCCATCTAGTCCAAAACCAGAATAGGAAGTTCAGACTTTGCCTGCAACACAGAGAGGTGCTGATGCCGTGGCACGCTGAAGGAACCAAGGTATAAAAGTTCCTGTGAACTCCAGATGAAAGAAGTGACGTATAGCACCAGTAACACTTCTCTCTGTAAGGTATAAAAGTTCCTATGAACTCCAGATGAAAGAGGTGACGTATAGCACCAGTAACACTTCTCTCTGCTGTAACCTCCTAATGCTCCTTAGCATTGCAGCACAATGGAGAGAAAATGGGTGAAAAATAAAATTTATCTTCATTAGAAAATTGCTAGGTTACACTGGCCTTCCGCATGACAACTGCACTAACATTTGCCAGAGAGACAAGAGAGTTGATTCAAAAACCTAGAGATAAGGGCAGCCTTGGAATCTTGGCATATTGAAATGGCACACTCAATGTCCAGCGTTGCTCCAGAAGCAGCACAGCACTTTTGTTAAGGTGATGAAAGTTTGTAGCAAACGGTATTGCCATTTGTGCTGCAGGATGGGCTGAGGCAGCACAGACAAAGTGAGTCCCTGCAGGTTCAGCCCTGCATCACAACGGGGCCTCAAGGAAACCAAATGAATTTTAGCCAGACTCACGAGAAGCCTCCCAAGCCAAGACTCAAGCAGGAATTGACCCCATTTTGCCTTCAGACCCACTGAAACACCTACTCAGCCACCCTGAGACAGGCGGTCACAAGCAGAAAGTCACCCTTGGGCCACCCTCAGCCACTGGAATTTGCAGGAACAAAAGACGAGTTCCCCAAAGGGTATGCAACTGTTTGAGGCCACCCAGATTCTTCACCCTCTTCAGAGCATCATCAGGAAGTCTGTCACGTCATAACTGGCCAGACTACGGAAGTAAAAAGCACAAGACACTATTTTCATCACTGCACGCAAGACTTCTCTTACAAAACGCAGAGGAACCGTCACAGCAGTAATGAGGGAAATAATAAAAGGCTTCCCAGGAAAAGCAGCACTTCAACGACCGTCAGTGTGCAGTACTGAGAACAAATCGGGCATCAGCCTTCCACGTTCCTGTATTTACCCACACGTACAGGTATATTTGAACTTTGCACAGCAGTAAGTGTCAGGCTGTATATCTTCAGAATCAACTTCTATCAGCATATTTTAAGAAATATTCCGAGGGAAAAGCTCATAAATGATACCAGGAGTTCAGGCTATACAAATCGTTATGGATATAGGAATAATGAAAGTGGTTTAGTGCATGGAAAGGTTTGTCAACCCACTAATAAATCACACAGAAGTCACTGCATGCTCAGGAAACTCCCACAGTTAAGGGAGTTAGCTACTGCATTATTTATTCTTTTCAACTGACAAATACATCTAATTTCCCAGTTGAAAAGCAAAATAATACTTCATTCTAGCTTGTGAGATACAATGTGCAAAATACAGTAACTGTCTGAGGCTGCTGCAAAAGACAATTCTTTGTAAGTCATTCAGTTTGAAACAGCACAGAGCACCACGCAAGCTAATTTATTTTTTCTAACTGGTAGCGACACAGAATAGTTTCTCACACTGACTTTGCAAAGTATGAAATTCGCTGTTCATTTCCTTCATCTTGGGGCATTCAGTGTTGTATCTGAAGGTAAGAGTAGTAGTAAATTTAAGAGTAGTAGTAAATTTAAGCCTATCTCCTTTTCAGAGGTTTTTTTTCTAAACAAAAATGCAAAATACTGAGAAAAAAAATGAATTCCTTTTCCTTTTAAAGCGAGGAAAACAAAAGAAAAAATCCTGGGTATGTATGATCCTACAAACGGGGACTGCTCACAGGCATTCAGTTCCTAATCAAGCAGGCCGAGTCCCACATTCCAAGACTTCTGCTGTCTCTCATTTGTTTGAAGATAATTCCAAATACTGACCTAGCATAATATATACAAGTCAACAACTAAGGAAAGGAATGAAAACACCCTTAGGAAGAGGTGCTGGCTGCAGAACCTTTGTGGATATGAAGCCAAGATCTGTCACCACCAGTGTTTAGAAAGACATCCATGTGTTTCCTCGATGCTATTCCAAGAGCACGTGACCTGTCCCTGTAGAAACGCAGCTCGGTGGTGTTGGTACTAGTGGGATACAACTTCTCCGTCTGCAACTGAGAGCTGTCCCTTGCCCTAGAGGAAAGACAGTTAACAATTCTCCCTAAGTCAAGGAATTCACACTAAAATAAGCAAAGCGTAGAGCAAAATAGTCCCCGAGGATGTACGAGAGATTCAAAGTCCCATGGCAAAGGCAAGCACCGGTCACCACACTAAAACAAATCACTTGTAAGAGCAGATGGGTTTGGGGCAACCATGGCTGCTTCCCCTATTCTCAATCTCAACTAGTTCTGCTGTCCTGCAGAAACATCTATTACAAAAACTTTAGCCACAGCTCAAGTTAATCGCAAATCCCCCACTCAAGTTAGTGTTTTCTCCCTCATCTACACAGAAATAAACAGTATTTTGAAGTTAAACCACTTGTTTTCACTTGCACATTCTTATACAACTTTATCAATAATAAACAGAGCTTTGCTTCACGCCAGAAGTTTACAGCATCCACCTTGCAAAATCTAAAACCAAAAATAGCACAACAGATAGCTCTAATCACCTCTGGAGATCTGCAATATATAGCTTGCATAGCTTTTTTTTTTTTTTTAAAGCAGAGTTGTAAAGTTTTTAAGCACATTTCATTAGTAATCTCTTCCCCCTCATCAGATGCAAGGGTGAGTCAGCTAAAATACCTCACACAGTATTAACTTATGTCCTGGCTGAGACTTCCCTGGTTCTTCAAGGCTGGATATCTGAAAACAATGTGGTTTTTTTATTTTTGCACTCTGTGACAATTTGAAACTTACTCATTCAATTTAAAAATCAAATACCTTCATTACTGTAAAAGGCAAATACAAGCAAATTTTAAAATTGCTCTACCAGATTTTTTTAATAGGAGGAGAATATTGCAATTTAAAAGCAGGTGACTTCAGAAGACACTTGAAACCACAGTGTGTTCAAGAGTAAAGGTATTTCTTCATGTCATTAAAGGCCCCCAAGAGCACCAATGAGCCACAAAGCTGGAGTCTTAACCTCTGACTTAACAATTAACCTTGTGAATCATATGGTAGGACTGGAGCTTGTCAGGAAATGCGTGTTTCATTTCAACTGGAGCACGGCAGCAAAAAGGAAAGAAAGTTTCTAGAAAGAAAAAAAGAATTTACTCTGCCTTTTCAGGAGTTCTGGTAATTTTATTTTCAAAAATTTAAAATAACTCTATTCCATTTCCAAATAATATTTTTCAGAAGAGAACTTGTTAAAAATAGGGTTAGTTTTCAGATCAAACATCTATCTTAGATATTTTTAAATAACCATGGTCCAAAAGAAGAGGCAGTTATATCCTCCATCTCTACCTAAGATTTTTGAAACCATATTACATAACTTGCTAGTTCCATGTGTCATTTTATTACAAATATAATTTCCTGCACAGCTCTAAGTTAAAACCAGCTAAAAAAAAATAAAATAGATCTTCCAATTATTAAAAAAATCCTTAACACAAATAAAAAGATATGTATACTTTTTTAATGTAAGAGTGACGAGTGGCTTCTGGTCTGTAAGGGCTTTTTTTTTTAAAGACTAAACACCAACAGCACAATACGCAGAGCTTTTGCAACAAAAGCTTTTTTTTTTTTCCCCTCTACAGTCGGCTTTGAGTCCGTTGTCCTTATGTCAGAGACAGCTCAAAATGTAATTTTTCCAGCCTCTGCCAGTAAGCATTCTCAAGCTCCAGAAAGGCCTCAGAGGTCTCAGAGACTGGTCATGGTGGTTTGCACAGCGTAGGCACCGGCACCGCTACGCATCCCCGCGTTCTTCACATTGCGCTCATGGACAAAAGCCGCGTACGGTCCCTCCGCGGCGCGGGTCCTCGGCGGGGCCCACGCGTCCCACGGGCTTCCCCCACGTTGGCAGCGGTCGGCAGCGTCATAGGGCCTGGATCGTTGGGGAGCGGGAGGGGGGGACAATTAG